TAGCTTGCTAAGTCATATGACCTAAGGAAGAACCTAACACTATTATTCTGCTAAGTAGACATAATAATAAACTGCTCACTAAATTCTTATCTTTATACCCATAGATCACTACATCTCTCAATCTCTAACAGAGAAGCTTCTTTTTCCAGTAGATGGCAACGAATACAAAGACTCACAATTGGTCAACATGCAGAGAATAAGAGACCATTAAGAGCTCAACCTTTAGACTTTGAAGATTCCCCATGGGGAGTAGAAAGGGGATGGGCTGGGATTTGGTGGGGGAGATAGGGGAGGAGGGGAGGGTGAGGGAACTGGGATTGACATGTAAAACAACCTTATTTCAAATTTAAATTAGAGAGAGAGAGAGAGAGAGAGAACATGAGAGCTCAACCTTTAGCATCTCTACATTACCCACCCCTACCAAGACTCAAGGATCATCACAGGAGAGAGAATGCAGAAAGACTGTAAGAACCAAAGGTCATGGATGACTTCTGTAAAACAGTATTTGCTGTGTGATGAGGCCACTGAACTCAGAATCCACAGCAGCTGGGACTGCATGTACAGGATCAAGCCAACCACAATTCCAGCATGGAGGAGAGAAGAGATCAACAAATCCCACCTGTAAGTATGGAACTGGCAGCTGATGACTACTGGGGGAGGGAGGAGGGAGTATCAGTTTTCTTCTGCAGTGTCATCTATTAGAGATTACCCAGGCAGCAGACAGCCCTAACCCATGCACATATAGGCAGCACTGAAAGAATTTAGTGTATTTTTCAAAGAACATGTGAGTGGCTGAAGAGATGGCTCAATGATTAGGAACACTAGCTATTTCTACAGAGGGCCTGGGTTTGATTGCTAGCACATGCATGATAGCTCATGGTCATTTGCAACTCCTACCTTTTCTAGGGGAACCAGAAATACTCCACAGACCTTTAAGGGCACAAGGCATACAAGTGGTACACAGACTTTCATGCAGGCAAAACACCCATATACACATAAAACAAATTTCTTTTTTTAAAAGAGTTCATGAAATTAGGAGGAAAACGTGGTAGGGAGGATAAAGAAGGAATTGGAAGGGAAGAAATGGGGGATGGATTTGAATAAAACATATAGATGTAGGAAATAAACAATTAAAAAAGAAAAAAGACCATCTTTAAAAAAGAAAGGCAATCCTCCCTGAGGATGAGCTTTCATGGTACCAGAAGATTGACATGCAAGCTTCCAAAGGAGGGAAGGAAACAACAAAGAGTTGTGACACCTATGAACTACAACAACAACCAGCATGGCACAATAGTCCTAAGGGTAGAGGAGTAGCACACACACTTTGGTGCTAACCAACAAGCTTTCTAATTAGACTCCAGATCTGCTCAACAACAGAGATATCATGCCTGGTACTGGAAACCCAGTGTCTGTAGTCCTAGTGATGTCATGGATCTTGGAGGAGAACCTACAACCATCACTTTACTAAACCAGCACAATCCCTAACTACATTCTAAACATTTGTCCTCACACCCACAGATAAGTGTGGTCCTTGCTCCTCATCAAGGAAACCTCTCTTAGCAACAGATAGGAAGCATTAAGAAAACCACAACCAATCAAAGCACAGAGTTGTAGAGCCCAGTCCTAATGGATACATCTACAAAACAACTTTTGAACCTAAGGCTCGGGGAACACTGAGAAAGAGGGTATGGAAAGATTGTAAGAGCCAGAGGATCAAGGAGTTTTCTGTGAGACTGTGTCTCCTAGTAAGGTCAGAAGTCTCACCAACATGAATGTCTAAACATGGGCTGAACAAGGACAACGACAGGCATGCTGAAATGGACAAGGGAAAGTTCAGACAGCCTAAACTCTACACAATGAACTACAGGCAACTAAGGAAGGCTGAGAGTGGGAGAAATAGTCTTCCTTAGGGATGAGAAAACCAATTGGTTATCCAGTACCAAGTGGTCAGCCTTGAAAAAAGAAAATAATTTTAAAGTTAAAATAAAGCACTAGTTAAAGGTAGAAAGCAAAACTACTTTCCGAGTAGCCTGGATGATACATACATGGTTGTTGAAAATAATCAATTGCATATTTCTACATTTAATTACCTGTGAATGGGAATGACCCTCAAAATTTAATAATGTAATTCATATTCTCCTTCCCTAGTCCCTATCCTAGTCCCTGTCTCTTTATCTCAACCCAACAGCACCAATCACGAGCATACTGAATCAAAGGGATGGAACAACAATGGATGCTTGGCAGAAACCAGAAATCACTTTAGCTGCAAACTAATTATTTACCTAATGAGAACAGCCCTTGCATGCACTGTGAGTCAGCATTTTATGATCGTGAGACATGAAGGTATTTCCTCCTTCCTGGCATTAGTTAAATAATAGAGCTAAAACAAAGGAAGCATCTCGAAGACTCAGGGAATGTCAGACAGGGAATGTCTGACACAGGTTTAACTTAGGTCCATGATGTCAGGGATGACAACACATGTTAGGTGATGGATGCACAGAGCTATTCTGAAATAACTCTAACTTATGGCCCTACAAAAGTAGCAGATAAAATGCTCACTACAACTACACCTCAGAAATGAACAAAACATTAGAAATAAGTGAAGACAACAACAAAAATGGCTTAGAGGCAAGTAATAAATTGACAAACAAAATAATGGAGCTGAGGGCATTTCCAGACACTGGTCACCAGAATACCATTAGCTAAAACTGAATCGAGTGAAGAGTTGATTCCCCTTACAATAAAGCAAAAAGAAAAAAGGTAAACTAAAAGTGAAACCAGGGGGGAAATCCTGCTCTTTCAACTGTTCATGGGCAGTAGTAGGATAAAAATAGTAACTATACAAAGGTACTTCCTTTTGTGTGCAACAGAAACTGATAGAAAGGGTAAAGGAATGCAACTCTTAAGCAAGCAGGAGACCTGGAGTGTGAGAACACATGAGAAGGGACCAAAGAGAATTAATCACATAATGGAGGAGTCGAGGAAGCACAGGAAGCCAGGAATTTCAATGAATAAAGACAGCAATAACAACCTGTAGGGAAATGGGCCAAAATAAAGCTAATACTTCACTGCTCTTACTCCTGCTCTGTCCCCACACCCCAAGTGTTAGGGGACTACAGGTGTGAGCTACCACACTGCATTTATGTGGTTCTGGGGATAGAACACAGGACCTCAACTACCCGTCTTATTCACTGATTTATTACAAAGCCACGGGGCAGCCTAAATGAGAAAATTAGAGCAGTTGCTTCAAAGTTGCCTTTTGTTTTTCTACCTTTTCCTTTTTTTCTAGAGACTGAACCCAGGGCCTCTGTGTATTCTACACAAGCAATCTACCAATTAAGCCGCTCCCCCTCCCCCAGAATGTAAATACCATTGATAAATACCATCTTATACTAAGCCACATCCCCAGACCATAAATACTATAAATACCATCTTACACTAAGGAGATAACCTTAGAAAAGTAAAATGCTACAGCTCACTGTTAAAAAAGGGCAGGGCCAGGCTAGCAATGTATATAGCCTAATTTCACACTTCTACACTGTCTCATAGGAACCTCTCTCTAATTGGTGAAAAATGGAGAAAGGCATTTCATAGTATTACATGAGAGAAACATCCCTGGCCAACCTTTAAATAGTAATAGGACTTATGCGCCTAAATTTTGGGGGGATTTTGTAACATCCAAAGCCATAAATGAATCTGGCTTTGACATCTGCCAGAAGGGTTAATTTGGCTGATCTGGGTGTCTAGGTGGGCATCCCCTTTCCTCTTCATTGCTCTGTGTGTGTCTCCTCCTGAAACTGGAGTTTTTGGTCAAAAAGGATGAACTTCCCCAACAGAGGGGGACTAGTCTTTGGTCAAGGGTATATAGTTGTCATTTCCTGCTAGAACCTCCAAATGAGTTATCAAAAGCCAGATACACAATCTATATCCTATTGAAGAATTTAAAGTCATATTTGAGAACAGCATTCCATGTACATTCCTGCCTACAAAACAAGCATAGTGGGGCCTCAAATGTGACAGGAAGGAAAGTGTCACAGGTGAAGAGGATTTTGAGTGGTAAAAGGAGCATCTTAATTTCTCATCAGACGCCTTAGAGTTTTCAGGCTAAATTTCAGAAGTCCTTGTCATGACAGCGAAGGCCCTCCACGCCAGGAAAAATGACAAGAAAGGCATATTACCTCGGCTGACAGACTCATGGTCAAGCATTTTAAACCAGTCTGGTTTCAACAGCCCAGAAGTGTTTTACTGTCGGAAAACCAGTCAGGAGGCAAGCTGTACGTCTGCGCATGTGGTGGAAGCACAAGCAATCCTTCCAGCAAAAGAAATTAAAATCGACTGACAATCGCTAAGTGACGCACACAGCCATACTGCCTTCTGCCAACCGAACCTTTGTTGTTAGCTAATTTTAAAGCTGTCAAGTCAGACACTTTAACACATGATCCCGGCGGAACAGGGTGACCTTGGTTTATCTGGATGCCCCAAAACCGATTGTAAAAGGGTGCTACTGGTAACATGTAAAAGATTGTCCTTTCGTTCGATGTGACAGTGTGGCTATGGCTTTAAAAATTCGTCCGCTAGGTATATATACGTATTTATGAATGAAATTGTTTCCCGCACGCGGGAGTGCTAAGGGGGAAGCTAAGAAGATGGAATGAATTGGCGAACGTATGGATAAAATCACGTTAGGGGTGTCACTCGCTGTTTGGGAGGCTCACACGCTCACACCCACGTGCTGTTTTCCACCAAGGCCCCTGGAGTACCGCCCCAGGAGGGTCCCAGGCCGGCTTCTTCCCCTCAGGCCTCAGCGGACCGAGGGTTCCGTAAGAACGCCGCACAGAGCCCTGCCCCGCCGGGCGGCCGCTCGCGCATCGCCGACCGGCGTCCGGAAAGGGACCCCACGGGCCGCTCACCGGCGCCCACCGCCCAAAAGCCCGGCCCGGCCCGGCCCCGGGGCGGGCCTGTGCGCCTACGTCATGGCGCTGCGCCGGGTCAAAGTTCAGCCCCGCCCGCGTCCCCGCGCCGTCTCCTCGGCCTGCGCCGCCGCCGCTCGTGGTCCGGGTCGCGCTCCTTCCGCTCCGCCGCCTGCTCGCGAGTGCTGCCCGGCAGGCCGCCATGGCGAACGTGGCCGACACGAAGCTGTACGACATCCTGGGCGTCCCTCCCGGCGCCAGCGAGAACGAGCTGAAGAAGGTACTGGAGCGAGCCGGCGGGCGAGCGGGCGGGCGGGCGGGGCGAGAGCGCGGGGCCTGCGCGGTCGGGGCGGCCTGAGCCGGGCTGAGGCGCGGCGGCGGGGGCGCAGTCGGCTCGGCTGACCTTGGGCCTCCGCCCGCCCTCCTGTCCGCCCTCCCCGCGCAGACGCCGCTCGCCGTGCCGGCGCCCCGGGCCACCCGGAAAAACAGGTCGGAGCGCGGTGCCCGCGCCTCCCGGCCCGGCAAGCGCTGACCGCCGGCGCCGGTGTGGGACTGAGGGCCGCCGGCTCCGGCGCTGAAGCTCCTCCCTTTGCCTCGCTCGCCCGGCAGCCAAAGCGGCGTGGGTCTGTTTGGAAGCATTGTTCTATGGGCAGGTGATCTAAATACCGGTGGCGGCTTCAGGGATGACTCGTGTGTCCCAGCTAGACACCTGAATGTGCACTCGCTAAAAATAAGACAGGTCTCATTGTTGTCCTTTGTAGTGGTACAGAATCATCCCGGGACTTAAAGCACTTGACGTATTAATAAAGTCCCGCACCATCTCCTTTGGCTGTCGGTATCGAATCTGAACCTGTAAACCTAGAAAAATGAGACTGTCCCGTAAGCAGTGGGACTGGTAAAGTCCAAAGTAAAATAGACTTCCTGTTACCTTACCGGAAATGGTAGGCTGTGTTATATAATTCATGAGTCTGTGTGAAGACTTAAATGGTGCATGCCCATATCGCTCAACTGAGAGTGTGTAGTTTCATTACCACCTAGCACCGCAGTCAACTCACCGTGTCCTAGTAAAACGTCACCTAGGACTATCTGGGGGTTTTCCTGTTAGAGGGTAGGCAGGAGTCAGCACAGGCAGGCGTACTGTGTTTGGGTTTCTGTAAAATACAGTCACATAACCTGGAATTTGTTAGATTATTGTGTTCTTAGTCTGGTTACTGGCCATCAAAGACATTTGATAATAGTTAAAAAAAAAAAAGAGTCATGTTTGTGTATCTATCGTTGTAGTTTTGTTTTATTTGTATTTTTCTTCAATGTACTCTTTTTTTTTCCCCCAACAATAACTTGGTTTTGGTACATTATTAGCAAGGAAGCAATGTTGAGGTGGAAAATGTCAAATAATTCTGACAAGTAAGTGGCATTTTTTGGAAGGCTGTAACTTTAGAACATTGCATCTCAGAAAAGTGAATCTCTGCTGGGAGTTGGTGGTACACACCTCTAATCCCAGCACTCTGGAGGGGGAGGCAGCCTGATCTACAGAGCCAGTTCTAGGACAGGCTCCAAAGCAATACAGAGGAATCCTGACTCAGAAAAAAAAAAAAAAAGAAAAAAAAGAAAAGTCAGTTTCTTAAATTATGTGTGTATAACACTTTTTCAAAATCTGTTATTTTTTTGTTCGTGTTTTGTTTTTTGTAGGCATACAGAAAGTTAGCCAAAGAATACCACCCTGATAAGAATCCGAATGCTGGAGACAAAGTAAGTTATTTGACGTTTTATTCTTGGGGTTTTAGTTTTAATCTGAATTTTAAAATAAATCCCCCTCCCAGAAACAAGGAGTGTGCTGTTACTATTTTAACTTATTTGAAAATGCCATAATGAAACCGAATGCTTGTGATATTCTCTTAAAAATAAGAAAAATTAGCTGGGCAGTGATAGTGTTAACACATGCCTTTAATCTCAGCACTCCACATGCAGAGGCAGGCAGATCTCTGAGCTCAAGGCCAGTTGGTCAGAGCAAGTTTCATGATAGCTATTGACTGTACAGAGAAACCCGATCTCAAAAAAAAAAAAAAAAGGAAAAATTATAGCTGTTGCAATAGCTCAACATTACAAGACCTTGCCATGTGAGCCGAACAGCCTGACTTTGATCCACAGTGGAAGGAAAGTTGTCCTTCAGCCTCCACACATGCTCCCATACTCAGTCATTCCTACACAGTAACATTGATGACTGTTAGAAGAATATTTTAGTTTTACAATGAAAATACTAAGCTTTTGAGCAGTAAGTGATAAAGAGAACCAAAATGAAACCAAAGGTAACTTGAAGCATTTTATTAGAATTAAGTGTATTCTGAGTTTCTGAAGTCTTTCTTATGTCCTTGCACTTAAAAACCCAATTTTCATTTTTATTTTTTCCTTATAGTTTAAAGAAATAAGTTTTGCATATGAAGTATTGTCAAATCCAGAGAAGCGGGAGCTATATGACAGATATGGAGAACAAGGTCTTCGGGAAGGTAGCGGTGGAGGCGGTGGCATGGATGATATTTTCTCACATATTTTTGGTGGAGGATTGTTTGGCTTCATGGGCAATCAAAGCAGAAGTCGAAATGGCAGAAGAAGGGGCGAGGACATGATGCATCCCCTCAAGTGAGTTTTCTTTTTCTTTTTTTTTTTTTTTTAATTAAGTGCTTTTCCAAGAGGTGATGGTGCATGCCTTTAATCTCAGCACTCTGAAAGCAGGGGCAGGGGGATCTTTGTAAGTTCAAGGCCAGCCTGGTCTACAGATTGAGTTCCAGGGCAGCCAGAGCTTCACACAGAGGAAACCTGTCTAGAGAAAAAAAAAAAAAAATTCATTTATTTAAGAATTTTTACTGTGTTCTCATTGAGTAAATAAATTAATTAATAAATTTATTAAGTGAATGTACTTTGCTTCAGAGCTTAAAGGATGGAGGGGTGCTCTAGAAATATAGGTCAATTGGTAAAGTGCTTAACTCAAAATTCTGGATTCCATTCTGGGCACTAATAAACCGGGTTTGGTGGTTTTTACTTATAATTACAGCACTGGGGAGGTGGAGGCAAGAGGATTAGGAGTTCAAGATCCTATGTACTCAGCTGAATATCTAGTTTGGGGCCAACATGAGAGATACAGTAAGCTTGTTTCAACAAAACAACCAAGATCTTAAAGAATAGTTGATGTTTTTCATATGTTGTTGGGGTTGTTTGTTATACCATTTAAAATTTCAAGTATGAAGACTATATTATTTAAATCCAAGCTTTAAAAAGAATGGTTGTTTAGATTATTTACATAGTAAAGTCCCCATTATTTGATCCTTAATGCTAACTCTTAAGTTGGTTTCTATGGAGCTTACTGGCTTCCAGCCTGGCATTAACCTGCCAGTATACAAGTGGTGTGGATCTTGTAAGTTTTTTTCATGAATAATGGTTTTAATAATGAGAGAGAGAGAAACAGGGAGGACAGACAGACAGAGACACTCCTGCTTGAAACAAGGCCTCTTGTAGCCAAAGCTGATTATGGTTTCTAGTATCTATCCTGCCTCAACCTCAGAAGTGTTGGGATTTATTTCCGGGGGTGTATGGTCATGCATGGCTCTCAGTTGTTTATTTAAAATATTTCGGTTATGGTTTTTGTTATTAGTATGGGGGCATGTGCTTGCTACAGTGCACACATGAAGGTCAGGACAAACTGGAATTGATTGAGTTGGTCCTTTCCTTCACCATCTGGGTTTCAGGGCTTGGTGATAAGTATCTTTATCCACAGGCATCTCACCAGTCCAGGTGTTTTGTTGTTTGTTTGTTTACATTTATCTATTTGATTTTGAAGTGTTTTGCTTGCTTGTTTGTATATTTGTGTACCACACAAGTGCCTAGTGCCCAAGGAGGTCAGAAGAGAGTGTCAGGTCTCCTAGAGCTAGAGGTACAGGTGGTTGTGAGCTGCCAGGTGGGTGCTAGGAATGAAACCCAAGTCCTTTGCAAGAATAAGCTCTCCAGCCCCACTGTGTCTGTCTTTACACAAGTTCTCGGGACTGACTCAAATACTAATACTTGTGCTGTAGGCACATTACCAACTAATCTGTCTTCAGATCTGCGGCGCACCCCCCTCCCCCTTTTAACTGGAGCTTAAGTAATCCAAGCTGGCCTCCAACACACAATGATTCTATTTCTTTTCCTGAATGCTAGGATTATAGGTGTTACCACCATACCTGCCACTAATATATTCTGAGTGGCTTTTTAATTTCATTTCATAATGGTTAATCACTCATCTTTTATAGACAGGGGGCCTGTAAGAGATATTGTTGCTGTACATTTCTTTATATACAGTTTTATCTCTCTTTGGCAGATTCCCAGACAAGCTCTTTATTTTATTTATTTACTTACTTGCTTACTTATTTAGTTTTTGAGGTAGAGTATCACACTGGCCAAGGCTGTCCTATACTTCATAGCAGTACAGGTGTGAGGCACCATTCCTCACCATTCCTGACTTGACATCCATGTTTTGAAGCTGATTTTAAAAAACAAAAGTTATTGGCTCTCTAGAGGAATTTTGCCACTTTAAGCCTCACTGGAGAGTGCCAATGTTGTTAGTTCATAACTTAGTTTTCCTGTCCTAGTTTTGTAAGACTCAAGATGTAGATCAGTATACCATTTAATTGGGTGTGATGGTGTGTTGTTGATAATTTTTCATCCATAAATAGGTTTTACAGTCTTTACCGTGTGCACACAGACACAAGATCCAGGGAGGGGGTATGAAGGTCAGGGGACAACTTGTGGGAGTTGGTTCTCTTCCACCATGATCAAACTCAGGACACCAGCAAGTGCTGAGCCATCTTACTCGCCTGTGAATGTTTCTTTCATACTGCCGGCAGTATAGGAAAGCTTAAGCTAATAATCTTGTGAAATGTTGAACACCACAAAATAGCATAGGTGTCTTGGAGAAAGACATTGAACTATTTCTTTGTTCCTTTACTTAAACACAAAGGATTTAAAGTAGTAGGGACGGCTTAAAGGCTAGCTGTACATAGCTCAGTTGCAGAGCACCTTCTGAGCATGTGAGGTCCTGGTTCACCCTCAGTACCATAGGGAAGAAAGATTTCAAAACAAGAATAGCCGGGCATGATGGCTCACACCTTTAATCTCAGCACTAGGACAAAGGGACCAAGAAACAAGTAGATCTCTTGAGTATGAAGTCAGCCAGGTCTACACAGCCAGAGCTACATAGTGAAACCCTGTATTAAAAAAAACAAACCAATTTAAAAAAAAAAAAAACCACACACACACACACAAGAGTATTATTAACTCTCTAATATAAATGGGTGGTTGGTGAGTAAGTTTTGGAATTTAATTCTTTCACAATTTCATATACAAATGATTTTACCTTATGCCTTCCCTTTCACCTGAACCCCTCCTTATTCCCAACAAGCCCCTCCTACTTTCTTGTCTGTTCCTCTCTCCATCTTTTGTATTTATAATTTCTTGCATGAACAAGGATGGTAGGGTTATTTACTTGAACAAGGGCAACTGAACCATTGGCAACATCGCTGAGAATATGAGTTCCCTCCCTCAGCAACCATTGACTACAGCTCCTCAGGGAGGGGTGGGGCTGTTTTGTTTTGAGATTAGTTTGGAAATTGATTCTATAATTTAAGTATGCTATATATGAATTAAATTGAGTTTGTGGTTTATGAGTTATGTGTGTACATATACACACATACATATTGTTTGTTTGCTTAAGACTGGATCTTTCTATTTAACTTTGTCTGGCCTAGAACTTGTTTTGTAGAAAGGGCTGCCTTTGGACTTTTGGCAGTCTTCCTGTCTCATTATTGAGATAGGTATACACTGGCAAGCCTAAAAAATACACTTTTAAAATTGTTTTATTTTTAAGAAACATTTATTACTTTTGTCACTCTTTTTTAAAATTTATTTAATTTTATTGTTTATTGGTGTGAAGGTGTCCGATCCCCTTAAACTGAACTTACAGTTGTGAGGTGCCATGGTAGTGCTGGGAATTGAACCCAGGTCCTCTTGAAGAGCAGCCAGTGCTCTTAACTGCGAAACCATCTCTCCAACCCCCACTTAAAACTTTTTTTAAAAATGTGTGTGGATGTTTTACCTGCATGTATGTCTGTGTGCCATGTGCAGTAAGTGCCCATGGAGGCCAGAAGAGGGTGTTGAATCCTCTGGAATTAGACTTGGTCCCCATGTAGCCTCTTTTCTGTACCACTTTCTTGAGGTATGATGAATATATAAAATATTGTATACTTTTGAAATATACAAAGGACTGGTACTTTTTAAGATTTATTTATTATGTACATAGTGTTCTGCCTGCATGTATGTCTGCATGCCAGAAGAGCATACCAGATCTCATTATAGATGGTTGTGAGCCACCATGTGGTTGCTGGGAATTGAACTCAGGACCTCTGGAAAAATAACCAGTGCTCTTAACCACTGAGCCATCTGTCAGCCCCACAACTGGTATTTTTTATTCAACCTTTTACTTTTTCAGATAGATACCTTGAAGATAGGTTAAAAGATGTTCAGTGTTCATCATGAACACCAAGGTGCCTGTGCCTCCATGTCAGAGGGCCTCCTCTCTGAGCTCATTCAGCAACTGGTACAAGCCACCAGCAAGCTGACCCAGTACATCACAGTGCTTTTGGCCATTCCTACAGCAAGCTGCTATATGAGCTAGTGACCTGATTGCCTATGCATCAGCCCAGACAAGATCTATGTTCACTCTGACTTGAACTTGCTGCCCAACCAGGTCTGGAATGAATGTTTCCATCTTCTCTTAAGTACTGGCCTGACTTATTCGCACTGCCATTCATGGAGCCACATGTGTCTTGTGCCTGTGGAGACAAGCAGAGTCAGGTCTCCTGGAATTAGAGTTACAGACAGTTGTAAGCTTCACTGTGGTTGCTGGGAATTGAACCCAGGTCCTCTGGAAGAGCAGCAGTGTTCTTAACCACTGAGCCACCTCTCCAGCTTCCTAAGTGCCTATCTTAAACTATAATATCCATTTGTAATCTAATCAATAATCTATAGCTTACCTCCCCAACAATAAAGCTATGACCTTGGTTAAGTTAGTTAATCACATAAAATTGGATGATAATTACTATTAGTAGCTTAGTTGCTAGAGTGCTTGTCTGGTATAAAGAAGTTCTTGGGTTCTGTCTGTACCATAAAAAACTGGACAAGATGTTCTATACACTTGGGAAGTAGAGGCATGGATATCCATAAGTTCAAGGTAATTTTTGGCTGCATTTTGAGTTTGAATCCAGTGTAAACTATAAAATTCTGTCTTTAGAGTGTTACTTATGACTTGGAGTTATCAGTGCATAAATTGCACCAAGTCCTGGTTCAACACTGTAGGTTCTAAGAATTTATTATTTTTGGTGTGCAGTGTCACACACCTTTGACCAGCACTTGGGAGGCAGGGACAGGTGAATCTCTGAATTTGAGGCCAGCCTGGTCTACAGAGCAAATTCTAGGGCAGCTACACATTTAGTCCCTGTGATGGTGGGGGGAAGGGGACCGGTTAATGTGTGTGTAGGGGCAAGTGCCTGAGAAAACCAGAGGCATTGGAGGTATAGTTACAGGTGGTTCCATTGTGGGGTTGGGAAACTCTTGTCCTCTGAAGAGCAGTGTTACCACCTGTATTGTCCATATTTATAAAGTTTTTCTTGGGTTTTTTGTTATAAAGTCAGAGTGAATTTGCCTTGTAAGCTATATATATTTTAAGAATATTGGCAAATTTGGTTTGAACCTTGTTCTTTTTTTCTTCAGAGTATCTTTAGAAGACCTGTATAATGGCAAGACAACCAAACTACAACTTAGCAAGAATGTGCTGTGTAGTGCGTGCAGTGGGTAAGTGTGTTGTTGCTTAGGCAGTGTCTGTGGAATGCTCAGAATCTATACCAGGTAAAACATTTTCTTTATTTAAAGCTTAGTAAGCAGTCAGGCCTTTTTGATATCTCTAAAGACAATTAAAGTAGTTATATTGGGCAATGAAGCACAATTTGTTAGTTTTTAATAACTGTAATGGTTTGTAAACAGATGTATAATTTATACTTTTGCTTTAGCCAAGGTGGAAAGTCTGGAGCTGTTCAGAAATGCAGTGCTTGTCGGGGTCGAGGTGTGCGCATTATGATCAGGCAGCTGGCTCCAGGGATGGTGCAGCAGATGCAGTCTGTGTGCTCCGATTGCAATGGAGAAGGTAAATGCACCAATATTTTTATTGCTTTTATGTTAGAATATGTGGGTAACATAGAGGTTGAAAACATTTGTAATTTTTCTAATATGCATACATTAATTTCATTTTTAAAATGAGATCTAAAAGAAGATTGGAAATTATATCATTACTGTTTGAGTGTAGTGTCGCTAACCTAGGCTGACCTTGAACTATATGTTCAAGGATGATCTTGAATTCTTAATCTGCTTCTACCTCTGAAGTATTGAGATATTGTACCACTCCAGCTAGAAATTAGTCTTTATTGCCTAACTTGTAAGCCTTCGAGAGCATTCTAAAAAGTCCAGAGTCAAGTTCTGAATCTATTTTTAATAGTTTAATTGTTAAATGAAGTAGCTTTAATCAAGGAAAGGAGAGATGTGTCTAGTGTAACCAAGTTTTTAAAAAATAGTATGTGTAGTGTTCTGTCGCATGTGTCCCTGCAGGCCAGCAGAGGGCACCAGATCTCATTACAGATGGTTATGAGCCATCCTGTGGTTGCTGGGAATTGAACTCTGAATCTCTGGAAGACCAACTCTTTAGCTCCCAAAATTTAAGCTTTTAATTAGAACAATTTATGTGGTAGATTTTTTTTTTCTCAGCAGCATAGGAGAGGTTCATGGACCCAAGTCCATGAGTGTGCTCGGCGAATATTAAACTATACCTTATTCAGACTAATTACATTACCTGCGTCTACCCTGGCCCTAGTACAAGGAATTAAGCCACACTCCCAGCCTTGCCTTTGACTAGTGATTGTTTGTATAGTTGTAGAATTCCCTTTCCCAAATTGCTCTTTAAAGCAATAATTTTAAGTATATATTGGGTGATTACTTAGTTGATAAAGTGCCTGCCTTGCTGGCATGAGGGCCTAGCCATGGGTAGAGTCCCAGAACACATGTTAAGAAAAGCCAGTTGTGTACCCTTAAATCCCATGGTCAGGAGAGAAGTTGATCCTACAGGCTCACTGACCAGCCACCTAACCCACTAACCTATAGGTCAATAAAAGATTGTTGTAACAAGTGGAGGACAGCTGAGGAATGACACCTGATGTATTGTCCTCTGCAGCTGCATGCTATATTCCCCTGAGGCATCTCTACATTATACCTTGTTAAAATTGCTAGCTTCACTATCAAGAAACCAGAGTCAGCTGAAATCTCACATCGGGAAGCAGAACAGGAGGAGAGTGAGTTTCAGACCTACTGTGCTGCATAACAAGACCCCTTTTTAAAAGCAAGTGCACTGGTGCTCAGTGATTAGAAAACCTTGCCTCCCCCCCCCCACACTTAGATACATCTGGAGTTCCCATTCATTGTACCATAAGCACATATTAGAATATTTGCAAAAGAAAAACTGTTATCCTAAACTTGGTACAGAGGTGTTCAGTGCCAGTTAAACACTCAGACATCTCTGGTTGGTTTTTGAGAATTTTCAGTAATAGTCAAACTACTTAAAAGCAGAGTTGGGTGGTAGGACAGTCCATTGGTAGAGCCTGTGCAAAAACCTGGAACTGATCGCCAGCTAATATCTGAGCAAGATTTAGTCTTCAAAGTAAATTCCAGTACCAACTATACAGTTCAGTAATGGACTATCAAAGATATTTAAGGATTGGATATAGATCAGTAGTGAACTATTAGATTAAGTAACCCCTACTGGAAAGAGAAATTGAAGTTTGACTTGGACTGCCTCTGTCCTATGGTAACCTACTTGAAGTTAGAACTGAAAACCCGGAGAAGTGTTCGTAGAAGCTCCAGCATCTGACTGTCCAAATATTTCCTTGTTCATTAGTGTTAGGGAGTAGAGCCAGGAACTGAGGAAATGTCAGGGTGTTTTACTCTGTAATCTTGGGTAGCTGAACCCTTTGGGTGACCTCTAGTAAGATAGAAGTTTTGTCATTCACAGTAACTGTAACTGTTAGCGTCCAAAATGTATCTTTGAATCAAGGGCACTCTCAAGACTCAGCTTAAGACTAGGGTTTTTTTTTTTTTTGTTGTTGTTGTTGTTGTTTTTTTTTTTTTTTTTTTTTTTTTTTTTTTAATGGAAACTTGAATGGCCTCTCTTTGCAGGAGAGGTCATTAATGAAAAAGACCGCTGTAAAAAATGTGAAGGGAAGAAGGTGATTAAAGAAGTCAAGATTCTTGAAGTTCATGTAGACAAAGGCATGAAACATGGACAGAGAATTACATTCACTGGGGAAGCAGACCAGGCCCCAGGAGTGGAACCTGGAGATATTGTTCTTTTGCTACAGGAAAAAGAACATGAGGTAATTTCCTTTTGATTTATTCACTTTTTTTCCCCTTTTTGTTTTATTCAAAATTGATCTTGCTTGTGAGAAATAGATAGATGCCTTGGAGTGAAACTAGAAACAAATGAAATCGTTATGGGAGCATGGCTGAGTTAATTTTTAGGTCACAGTGAGCATGGCTTACTTACAGAAGCTGACTCCTGTAAACAAAACTATTAAGACAGGTGTAGTCAAAAGTCTTTGCCCTGTCATTACTATGGCTCAACACTATGCCCTTAAATAATCCTATTGACTCTGCACCTCATTTCCTTTATGAAAAAGAAAGCCATTGGACTAGATAGTGTTAGGCAACATAATTTTACTAGAGAACTCCTTGGTGGGTAGAGTCTTTACTCCTTAGCACTTTTCCAGTGATTAATTTTACTTACTGGAGTAAGAAAACTTACTTAAGTTTTCTGAGGTTGAGAGTTTGTTTCTTAAAGTAATAATCTGTTTTATTGGCATGATGGTAGCAGGGGGCGTATTCATGTTACAGTATGTATCAGGACTACTTTCTGGAGTCAGTTCTTCCACAGTGAGTTCTGGGGGTCAAACACAATTTAAACATTTTTATTAGTTTCTGGTTAAATATGTGTTGGTTATACCTGTTATGTTTGAGGCAAAATGAACTTGTCTAGCAAGGTTCATTATGTGCTATTTTTATTTTGATCATTCCACTGAACATTTTAAATACCCCTTTTCTGTTTTATCACTAGGCTGACCTCCAACTTGACATTGTTCTTTTATCTGTCCTATACCACCATGCTTGACTCACCTATAATTTGTAATGCCTGGTGGCCTGTGTCTATAATCCCAGCCTTTTGGAGGCCAAAATAGGAAAAAACAAGTTTGAGGTCAGCCAGGACTATATAGGGAGACTCTTCCTCAAACAAAATTAATGGCCTGCATAGTATCCTGTCTACCTCTGACTTAAAGAATGTGTCTGCGGCTGTTGGTTTATAAAAGAGCTGTTCGGGAAGCACATGGTCCTTACATGTGAAAACATTACATAGGGTTCTGCTTTATATTTGAGGCTTATTCAAGAGATCTCCAAAAGATTGTATTCATTTTTTATTTATTTTACAGACTTGATTCACTTTATTTTTCTCATATACAGACTCTATGTGCAGGGCTGGAGAGATGGCTTAGTGAATAAGAGTACTTGTTGCTCTTCCAGAGGATTAGGGTTCAAGTCCCAGAACTCACATGGCAGCTCACAGCTGTCTGCAACTCCAGTTCCAAGGAATCTGACACCCTCATAGAGGTACACACAGGCAAAACACCAATGCACATAAAATTAAAACAATTTTTTAAAAAAACCTCATAAAGCTGGGCAGTGGTTGCCTATACCTTTAATCCCAGCACTCAGAGGCAGAGACTGGCTGATCTCTGAATTTGAGGCCAGCCTGGTCTACAAATGAGATCCAGGACAACCAGGTAACACAAAGAAACCCTGTTTTGAAAAAAACAAACAAATAAAGAAGCGCTTGCCACAGCTGGTCCTGGAGAACATGGACTCCTTCCAGAGGTCAGAGTTTGGATAGCTGTAGTAGGTCTTGAAGATGGCATCAGAGGTGGCCTTGGTAAAGTTGCCCTTGGCAATGCAGCCCCAAGCTGTTATCAGTCCCAGCTGTCAGCAGCAGCTTCTTGGGCACAGGAGCAGAAAGAGACAGTGCCATTGCCTCTGGGGGCAGGGATAAGGTGCACTAGCACAGTGCCACAGGGCCCATCACCTTGCATAGAGTAGGGATTTCTAATCTTGAGCCCCCAGTAGCCTTGATTTTGGTCTACTTGCCAGGCCAAGTCTGCTTCTGCACTGGTGTGATCTTTAAAACTTCATCCTTAAGAGATGGTTTCTGGGGGCTAGAGAGAAAGCTCAGTGATTAAGAGTACTTGCTTCTGTTGTATCGGAACCTGGTTGGATTCCCAGCACCTATATGGTGGCTCCACACTTTTTTTTGTTGACTTTTGAGACATGGTTTCTCTGTGGCTTTGGAACTCACGCTGTAGACCAGGACTGGTCTCAAATTCAGAGATCCACCTGTCTCTGCCTCTGGAATACTGGGATTAAAGGTATACTTGACCACCGCCCAGTCGCTCGTAGCCTTCTTTAACTTTCCAGAAGATCAGATTCCCTCTTCTGATCCCTGGGTACCTTCGTGCATATGACATGCATACATACAGAAACACACACACACACACAAATAAAAGTAATGCATTAGTAAGGGTTCTCCAAAGGAACAAAATTTACAGAATGTGTGTATGATATATAATGTATTATAAAGAAGATTTATTAAAATGGCTTACAGGCTGTGGTCCAGCTAGTTCAACAATGGCTGTTCCAAGAATCTAATAGTTTGGTCCATGAGGCTTGATGTCTTAGCTGGTCTTTAGTATAAACTGGAATCCCAAAGAAATAGACTAATTCCAGTGAAGGAAGGGCTGGGCTTTAGTGGCAAATGCCTTTAATCCCAGCACTTAGGAGGCAGAGGCAGGCAGATCTCTGTGAGTTCAATGCCAGGCTGGTCTACAGAGCTAGTTCCAAGACAGACTCCAAAGCAATACAGAGAAACCCTGTCTCAAAAAAAGCAAAACAAACAAAAAAAAAAAAAAAAAAAAGCATGAGAACAAGGAAGCAAAGAGAGCAAGCTTCCTTCTTCCATGTCCTTTATATAGGCTACTTGCAAAATGTGGCCTAGACTAGAGGTGGTTCTTTTCACCTCAAAAGATCTGACTGAATTAAAGTTAAAGGTATATCTTCTCATCTCAAAAATCTGGATTAGAAGTGGGTCTTCCCATTTCAAATGATTTAAATAAATAGTCCCTTACATGTGTGCCCAGCCATACCCAGCCATTTGGGTTTTTAGGTAGTCAAGTTGACAACCAAGAATAGGCATCACAATTAACATATCATAGAGATAATTGCTAGGTAAAATTCAATAGGATTCTTTGATAGGCAGAAAGGACTAGTAGATCTCTGGGGCTTGATCTTCATGTCCTTGATAGGCAGTCCAGCATGGTTACAGGGATCCACTCCTTGTCTTAGGCTTTGCCTAAGTGCTAGATACCAAGACAGGGATGACTACTCTGGCAGCCACTGTGGCCTCCCAAGCCTTAATTCATTCACTATTTTGTCCTTGTCCTCCCCCCCATGAAGAAGCTGCAATTTTAAAAGTAAAATCATTTCCAAATTTCTGTAGAGAACAAGGCCATATTGAAAAGCACATTGTAGAATTTGATCACAAAATTTTGACTTTCTCCCTGGACTGCCCTTTATGGTCTTATGAAGAGTGGTATGTTACTGGTTAGTTTTGAATTTTCTTCAGTATTGCATATTTGAGATGGCAAAGACCTTTTAGCTGGCTGGAAAATAAGAACAATTTCCAGAATTCTGCTTTAAGGTCATAAATGACCTTACTATTTTTTGATGAAGCCTACATCTTTTAGGTATTAGAAACTGCTTTGTCTCTGAGCCACATCTCCAACCCCTAAATTGTGTTATTCAACATTCTTATTTGATGGCATTTTAACTACTTCCTCATTTATTCAATATTAATATCCACAATACCTAGAAGACATAAGAGGTAGAAAGGTAAACAAAATAGCCACATCATTGAAAGTTGGTAGTGTAGATTAAACACTACAGGTATCACTAGGATATTATGAGCATTACACATACCTTTAATCCCAGCGCTTGGGATTAGAATTGTTGACAGTGGTAGGATTGTATGGAATTGATTGCCTAGGCTAAAAAGTAGTAAAGGGCAGAAGTTGAGAGTGTCTGTTCTGGTTTTATTGTAACCAGGGCAGTCAGTATGAGTCAAGGGTGAGATTTAGACAGCTAGCTTAATTCATCTCACTTGGGGGGGGGGAACGAAAACAATAAACAAACATACTATAATTTAAACTAGAACATACGGCTTGCTAAATGTTCAAGAAAATCATTGGTTGTTTTGGGCCTTTCTCTCCTCATTCTAAGTAGCTATCTGAAGAAATTGAGACCATAATTAGGTTGGGTGGGTGCAGTGGCTGAAACTACAAATGTAGTAAAAGCTAGTGAGCTTTGGGGGTGTTGTGTTGTGTGTATTCATCCTGCTCTGCTGATGTCCGTTTGTACACTGCAAGCACAGGGCTTTGGTTGTTTAGTTCTTTCATAACTGCTTCAGAAAATTTTGCAACTTCTGAATGTTTTACTATGTGGTGCTTGGTAGTTCTTCATTAATCTTTTCAAATGTTCTCTGGCAACAGAAAGAGGGAAGAAGTTAGGCATTTATCTATTTAAATGTTAGCATCAAATTATCAAGTCATCCATCCCCCCAAAGGACAGCAACTGCCCTGGTGTTTTTTAGTTGTTACTTTTAATTTCTATACAAGAACTTGTTCCTCTTGTAGGTATTTGGTAAAAATTATTCTTTGACTATTGTCCAAGCATTTTACAGGCATTTGTTTGTTTTGAAACAGGTTTCTCTGTGTGGCTCTGACTGTCCTGGAACTCGCTCTGTAGGCAAGGCTGGTCTCGAATTCACAGAAATCTGTCTGTCTTTAAGTGCTGGGATTAAAGACATGCACCACCACAGCCTGGCTAGCATTTTTTAGTAGCATTGATGCAGTCTGATTTTTTTAAAGTCTGATGACCCTGTTGTGAGGGGACCCTGAGTAAATGTTCATAAGTAACTAATCTACATTGTTGCTTCTCACATTTGAGCTGTGATTGGAGTCCCTTGGAGAGCTTACTAAATCTACTGGGTTGCTGGGCCAAAACATTATTTTTAACATGCTTCTGGTATTGTTGAAGCTGGTGTTCTAAAGCTGTTCATGCTTAGGATAGTTTATTGGGTAGATTTAAGAGAATCTTTTAGGAAAAGAACACATTTTTCAGGTGTCTTATGAACCAGCCAAGATTGTTTGTTACTCAAAGATATTATTAGGGTTTACACCTCAGATTTGTGAAGCCAGTAAGAGAGTACCAATTGAAGGAATTTCTACTCTTTGCCAAAATAGAAGTATGAAATGAACTTCTATGCCCTTAGAGAGCCAGAGGTTAGTAACGAAATGGGAGAGCATGCTGGAGGGCTGACTCAGTGGATTAGAGCACTGGCTAACATGATTCCAGCACCCACATAAAATGTTGGCATGACCTCATGTGCCCCTCTGACAGGTGGATGACATAGACAGGAGGATTGCTGGGTCTTAATATGGCCACCAGCCTGGCTCTAGGTTCAGTGAGGGTGATAGAGCAGACACCTGTCCATGCTTCTATGTATACACATTTGCATATATCACATTCACAGGAGAGTCCATCTGAAGAAAATGGAAGAGACTAATAAATGGAAGAAATTCATGTGCTTTCTAGGACTGGGAATAGATTTCCCAGAAATGAAGTTCTTTCCATGGTTCTTTCTAGTGGTTGCCTTGTCTCTTTTGGCATTGCAGGGTCAGTTAGCCTACAAATGGAATTAAAATGAAATCAGAGATGGTCTGGCAATCATCTGGTGGCTGTTTGGTCCAGCCAGTTTTTGTTTTTGTTTTTTAAAGCGTTGTTGTTGTTATTTAGTCTATTTTATTGCCTATAAACATCAGAGATTAGTTTGGGTAGAAATTAAGCTGGCTCACTTATTACTCAGGGTAACCAAGACTTTGTTGTGTGTTTGTTTTTAAGAGAGGGTCTCTGTTGCCTTGTCTGTCCTGAAATTCACTTTGTGGACCAGGCTGGCCTTGAGCTCAGAGGTCATCCTGTCTCCCAAGTGCTGTGTAAAGATGTGAGCCACCACTGCTGGCTCCACAGCACTTTCTAGTGAACAAATCTAGGTGATGTTTTCACTACAGATTAATTTTATTTCAACTTAAATTTCAAAATGTAAGTGTAGATTTGACAAGTTTAAGTGAAAATTATAAGTTGAATATTTTGAAATTTATTTTTTTCTCTAAGCACCAGAGTTTAGGACATTCTCAGCACTTGTTCAGAAGCCTTTGCAACATTGGTGCAGGAACATAGCTTTCACCTCTAAGGGGACAGAGTTTATTCTGAAGCTAAATAACATGGATTCAGGTTATAACAAAATCCATGTTCCAACATGGGAGCAGTAATAGAACAAAGAAAATCACAAATCAAGGCACTGTACAATGCATTAGAGGAAAGTAGTACAGTAAGTACAGCTCAGCCATAAGTCTCAGAGGCTTGTCTGGTGGCTCCGAGCTTTGGCTTGGTAGAGACTACAGTTTTCTTGTTAATACATTCCAAAATGTCTTATCTGTTAAGTCACAGGATGTTTGGTCTGACACAGCAGTGGGCACATGGCTAATTTGAGGGACTAAAGATAGCCCAAGGTAAATTGTCATTAGACTCTGGACCTGCAGTGTTCTGGTTTTATGTAGCTTCTTTCTGGAAACCGAGTCACAACAGTATGTAGCCCATAAGCCTATACTATAAGGTGGAATAAGCTAACTTTAGCATTTGCTGTGTAATCTGCAGTAAACAAGTTTGAATTTTTTTTTTTAAGTGTTTGTTTTGTTTTTTCCAAGACCAGTTTTCTCTGTGTAGCCCTTACTGTTCTGGAACTTGCTCTGTAGACCAAGCTGGACTCAAACTCAGATATCCACCTGCTTCTGCCTCCCAAATGCTCGTACCACTCACTGTACCTGTCCTGATTGTTTTGGTTTTTAATTTATGTTTGTGCATGTTTTCTCTCTGTGTGTGCCTGGTCCTTGAATCCTCTGGAACTGATATTGTGGGTTCTGGGAACCAAACCCCTGCAAAAGCAGCAAATAGTCTTAACACTATCTCTTCATCCCCAAGTTTGAATTTTAAGTGAGATGAAACTTCATTGTACATGTACAAAGTGTAGAATTGAACCTATAACTTCCATGGCTGAGTCTTATTGGTTGAGCTTGTTTGGTTTGGTTTGGTTTGGTTTTCTCAAGACAGGGTTTTCTCTATGTATCTTTGGAGCCTGTCCTGGAACTAGCTCTTGTAGGCCAGGTTGGCCTCGAACTCACAGAGATCAGCCTGCTGCCTCTCAAGTGCTGGGATTAAAGGCATGTGCCACCATCACCTGGCCCTTGTTGTGCTCATTCTTGACAGCAAGCTTGGTTGAGCTTTTCTTAAACACTGAACTTGGACTCCCATCTTGCCTCATTGGGATCATGTCTGGGGGTATCGGTTGAATCTGTTCTTATTGAAGACCATATGACGAGTCCAGATTTGGTATTAAATTTAGGAAATGGAATGCAATTGCAGCAGGACTAAACTTTTGGTGCTTCAGTTGTATCTTACATACTTTTCTTAATAGGCTTTCCTAATAGAAGTTTCTGGCATACTCCTTGAGAATATATAGCTTTGCTAATAAGAATTTTGGACATTAGGGATAATGGCATTTTGGTTCTTACAGTGGGTGGTAGAATTAATATTCTGAAATGGACTTAAGGAATGTGAATCAGGATGGTGTGGGCTCATAGTCTATAAAATATGCTTTGTGTTTTGTCATAGGTGTTCCAGAGAGATGGAAATGATTTGCATATGACATATAAGATAGGACTTGTTGAAGCTTTATGTGGATTTCAGTTCACATTTAAGCATCTTGATGCTCGTCAGATTGTGGTGAAATATCCTCCTGGCAAAGTAATTGAACCAGGTAAATGACTTCATCTGACCCAGGTTGTCCATATATTGTTAAAATTTGTATTTATGGAAACTAATGGGATATTATTGAATACCTTTCTTGGGTAACATTTTTATCTAATTTTTTTAAATAATAGGATGTGTTCGTGTTGTTCGAGGTGAAGGAATGCCGCAATATCGTAACCCCTTTGAAAAGGGTGATCTTTACATAAAGTTTGATGTGCAGTTTCCTGAAAACAACTGGATCAACCCAGACAAGCTTTCTGTAAGCTGTTTTTGCAGTTCCTCATGCAGATAATGTGGCTGTCCCTTGTGCTTCCCACTCTTCCTTGTTTCGTGTGTGTGTGTGTGTGTGTGTGTGTGTGTGTGTGTGTGTGTGTGTGCGCGCGCGTGCGTGCGTGTGTTTTCTCTTTGTTTTGTTCTATTCCAGGATCTCCACCTGCACCCTGGGCTGGCCTAGAATTCATGGCAATTCCTGTGTCTCGGTCTTCTGATTACTGGGATTATAGATGTGACCAACCACACCCAGCTCTTTTGAGACTGTGTCTTCATGCTGGCTTTTTTTTAATGTTTGCATGGTTGATGGGTTTTTTTTTTTTTTTTTTCTGGTTATTCTAAAGATGAAGTTGACTGATACAACTGTTTATGGGGCCAAGCAGGCTGGGTATGAGATGCTGATGAGTCTTTGAACTCCATAGAGCCTAACCCTCAGCTGGCCTTCTGTTAGAAGTGCCGTGGGACATCCCTGCAGGGTAGTTTTCTAGTGTTTGAATGTGGTGCTTATTTGTGTGAATGTCAGCTGCATAATGAGACACATCTCCTGTTTTTGTTTCATGAAGGAATTAGAAGACCTCCTGCCATCTAGACCAGAAGTTCCTAATGTAATTGGAGAGACAGAAGAGGTGGAGCTTCAGGAATTTGATAGTACTCGAGGCTCTGGAGGTGGTCAAAGGCGCGAGGCCTATAATGATAGCTCTGATGAAGAGAGCAGCAGCCATCATGGACCTGGAGTGCAGTGTGCCCATCAGTAAACTGCAGGTGGCTGCACAGGTGGATTTTCTTTCCACATTTGCCGGATTTGCCAGCTGCTGGAGTACCTGACGAGTCCAGATGAACTGATGGACGTCTGTTGATCTATGTGTAACTTCTAAAATTGGTATAGTATCCACAGAGTGTATAATTTAAACTAACCACAAAGCTTTACATCTTCCTTTGACTGTTCTGTAGCAGAGTAAAGCACTTGAAATAAGACTCCCTTTCACATGTGGGTTAAGTTTCAGTCCTGGTATCTGCTTGATTTTTATCAGTTTTGTGTAGACTTTATGTTTCATATTTTAAACTCAAATCCAGCATTGTAAAGTTTGTACAATTTGTCCTAAAGCTTTGTGTTTGGCTGCACCTGCATAAGCTGCTACAAACAGAATAAAGAATTCATAGCCTGTGTCTATCATTTAGATGCATGGAAAAATGGGCTTTGCACACAATGGGTTTGAAGCTGACTGGGAACAGTAGAAAAAAATTACATTAGCCATGGTTGTAAAGTTTTTTGGCTTTTTTTTTTTTTTAAACCATTTTGTGAAAGGTTTCTGAAACTTGATAATAAAAAGCAGTTGGTGTAAATTATTCTGTGTCACATTTTTAGAAAGAAGAACATATTTTGAACTGTAAAAAAGTATCCTTACACTGAGGAGTGAATCTTTGGTTCTGGTTTTTAAACAGCCCTTAAAAATCCATTGACTTGAAGTTTATGCTTCAGGTATCTGCCCCTGCGGGCTTTACAAACACTAAGATTGGTTGAAACAGGCTTTATTGACTTCAGTAGATACTCTGTAGCATCAAGAACATCCAAGTTATCTAACTCCCAGGTTACCCTGAAAATTGGGACAAGCCCAGGCCTCTGTTATCCTTTGCACTTCTTTTTTTTAAAATACGGTAAAGCAGATGAATAGTAGAACCATGTTTACACAGACCTGTTAACGCTGTTTTAATTAAATATTATGAAAAATTGCTCTGTCTCATTAAGTTGAATATCTGATTTTGGGGAAGCATTGACTAATATTCACAAAGTGTCTGAGCCAGTGGTGAGGAGGGTTCAGTGTGATCCATGTCCTGGTCTGCACCTAGCTTTACTTCCAACCATCCTAATGGAAAGAAAGGGTGTGTTTCCATCCTCTGGTGATTACTTTTTTCATTCTGAGGTGTTTTTTTTTGTTTGTTTGTTTTTGTTTTTTTTTTTTAAACATGCTGATTTGAGGTCCAAGTGACACCAGTTATACACACGTGTTTTATTTACATTTGTCAAAGGAACAGCAGGACAGAAATGGAACTTAGATTATTTTTCCCCCAGTGTATTATACCATCTCTGATAGCACATTTCTAGAGATATTGGAACCTGGATGAAGAAAATGTCCCCAAGCTAATCAAGACCTGTGAGGGTTAAATTACTGCCCTATTCACTCTACCTCCATTGTACAAAATATTTTACAACAAGCCTGGGCAAGAGTCAGCAGCATAATAGTTTTGTATTTGAGGTTATTTCCCCACAACACTTTAAGCCTAAGCAATGCAGTGATAATACAAACTTTGTAGCCTTTCCAATAAAGGTTTATAAAACAGTTACTCCGCAGTGTTCAGTTTTTCTGCGTAGGTTGTGAATGTATGTCTGTGTGTGTGGTGCTGGGGACTGAACTCAGGCCCATGTATATGCTAAGCAGCTGCTTCCCTAGCTGAGCAATCCCCAGCAGCTACTCACGTTGTTTTAGAACAAAGCAAAAATGCAAGCTGTGTTTGACCTGTAAGTGCCTCTGATTCCTTTTATGGCTTCCGTACCATAACCTTTTATCTTTAAGAAAATGCCCATTTCAGTGGATTCCCATGTGTCAAGATTTGTGTGGCAAAACAAACACACCAAGTCTTATTAGTATAATTTCATTATCTCCAACCCTTTATGAAGTTACTGATTCGTTTTTGAGTTGTTTTTTTTTTAATCCAGTAAATAGCAGTACTTTTCTTAAAACCAAGTAGTATTCAGTATATCCTACCTTTTATTCACTTCCTAGTGGACATTTGGAGTACTATTCAAACTACAACTATAGATACATGAAAGTTTTGTGTGGGATAAATTCATTTACATGCATACCTGGTGTGGATTTGGATTGTAACCATCTGAGGATCTACCAAACAGGCAGGGTGGCTATACCTTCTTGTCCTATCGGCAATGCAGAGAGTGTGCAGTGACCTACATCCCCACAGCCTTGGCAGCAGGTAACTTGGTCACAGCCTTCCTGGTGGATATAAAGCAGTTTTGATTTTTACTTCCCTGATGACTAATGTTCATGTATCTTTCATGTGCTTAAATGGCTGTTGGTGTATCTGAAGAAGTTTTTTTTCTTTTTTCTGCCTACTGCCCCTTCTCATATTTCAGAATACTGTGTAGTCACCTGCATAGGCTCCTGTTGGCTCTGTTGTAAGATATCTTGTTTTTGTGGGCTATGGACACTTTTGAGGAGTATTTGTTTTGTGTTGGGGTTTTGCTATTGTATCCTAAGCTTCTCTTGAAGAATTCAGGGCAGTTCTGCTTCAGCCTCCCTCATACTGGGATTAAAGATGTGTGCTGCCACTCCTGGCCTAGGCTCAGTTTCTTACCCTTCATTTCAACAATTCCTTGTGAAGTGTCTACTTGGGCCAGCACTTTCACCTACCTCCTGAAGTTAGGTTGTTCTGTATGTGTGTACTGTAGATTGCTCCAACTCAGGAAGGTGGGTCTCACGCACAGCTGCTCCCTGGCTGTGAAGGACCGGGACGCCCTTTTCTTCACTGTCTGTCCTGCAGACTGGGCAGTTCATGCCTTGACAGGTAAAAAATTTTTTGAAAACAACCAAAAATACACCAAAGAAAATCTAAGTGCACAATAAGGTATCAGTTACTTAGATTCTTGGTGAGAAAAGTAGACTAATTTGTGAAGGTAAGTACCATTTGTTAGAGCCTGAGGGATCACATGTAGCCTTGGAATTGAACAGATTAGATTTTGGTAAAATCTTGAGTCCCTGACCTTCTGATTGATTAATCTTGTACTGCTGTACCCTTGTATCTCTCTCCCCCCCCCACACCCCACTCTGGGGAAGAGCTCACCTTCCTGTGATATTTTCTACAGCCCCTTTGTGAAGTGTAGGAATTGATGTATCTAGGGATTTGCGGTGGTGATAAAATTCTGGTACATTCTACAAAGAGGAACTTTGTAGAGGAATGAGGTCCATGCACTGGCAGCAAACCACTGCTCAGCTGTTTCAGAAAACTACTTACTCTCTTGGTTCTCTAGTGGTCTCAGGAAGATAGTCACCCATTTGGTCTCTTGGTCTCTCTGACAAGACAGTGGACTCCCCAAAGAATGGGGATTTCCCCAGGAGTTTCATGTTGGGGAAAGAAAGGGATGCCAGGCAGACCAGAAGCATGTTCACAGTTCTAACAACTTGTCCATCTCCCTGACAGGTGAGACTGAGTGAAGCCCAAACAACCTTGGGTCTGGTGGGCGGAACCACTCCTTGACTGGAACTGCTCAGATGTACAGTAACCTTGGCCCTCTATTTAAACTTTGATTTCACTTGAGGACCCTGAAGATGGGCTTGAATCTCTTGTCCTTTGAGAGAGCCACGTTTTTAAGTTTTAATTAGTATGCCTAAGAAGTCTATGAAACAAAATGCTTGTGATCTGGAAGCGCCTTGCTCAAGGACAGACAGTTCTGAAATGCTGGAGGCTGTTGTTAATGGGAGATAACAAGTCACATGTTTTCACTCCCTTAAACAAGTTAGTTTGACCCATCTGCACTAGATCAGGGCCTGATCGCATGTGGGCAGGAAATGGGTCAGAATGTACACTGCTCCTGATTGGATGTTGGCAGGATGTACACTGGCAGGCAGAAAGCACATCAGGCAGTCTGTTTGCCCCTGATTGGATCTCATGTGGGTTTGCCTTTTTAAGCCCCTGCAAAATGTGACGTGGTGCCATTTACTGGCAAAACAGATGGACCTGGCCAAAGAGTCCATCAATCTGACCATTATTTAATTAATGCTTGCTTAAATTTGGCTTTAAACTGTGGTTGTGGTCTTATCTCAACCGGTGGGATTAAACAGTCCCACTTCCCAGTGTGGCCACATTGAATAAATAGATCCTTTTCTGCTTTCCACTATTAATTTGGCTCTTTTTTATTGGCTTATTGAGAACAAGTGGCCAGAACTGATTTGGGACAAGTGGTAACCACCAAGTTCAGTAACAATGCCAGGGTATAGCTTCCTCACACTGACTATAAAGAGATTTTTGCCATAGCTCAACTCTTCCTTGGTGCATCTTAGGATAATAGTGTGCAAGACTTAACCCTAGCCATCACCAACTGGTTTCGTGACAATAGCAAGAACAAATTAATATTCAACTTCGAAGGTAACAGCTGAGTACTCTAGTGCTGGACCTCTCAAAAGCATGGCAGATGGGGAGTATCTGCCCCCCAGTGAACTTCCGTGTTGTGATGGTGAATCTGAATTTTTCACGTGGTGGTATCTTAAACAACTAAGAAGCAAGTTTCAGGGAAGGCATGTCTGTGTGAGCATTTCTGGAAGGGATTCAGGGAAGAAACCCTTTCCCCAGAGTAGGCAGCACCCTCTGGCTCAGATGTAAAGTGGCCGGAAGAAAACCAGTGTTGGTTGCTTGTCTACCTGCGTTTATATCTTAATAAGTGAGTGTCTATACCATTGCTGACCTGGCTGCTGCCATCCTTAGGTGACATCCAAGTGCAGCTTCAGTCTGAACTCAAATGTGTAGGGTAATCCTGCAGGTCTTCAGTGCCAGACTGAGGAGCTACTGTGTTCTTGGCCCTCTTCAGCATGTTGTTGGCCCTCATCCTCTTCATGCAAGCCAATCTAACAAAATTATGCTTATGCTATCCATTCTTTTCCTGTAGAGGAAGCTGATAGATTCTGTTCTACCTCTCCACCGTAGGGTTACTCACACCGTGTATACCAGCTGTAGCTCCAAGTTTCTAGCCCCAATGTACAGCTTCCCACTTTCTCACTTGCCATCTTACAAGATGGGAAAGAGAACTAGCTCTTCCTTGTTTTGTAAACCACTGGTTTTTTTTTTTGTTTGTTTGTTTTGTTTGTGTGTGTGTGTGTGTGTGCCTGTGTGTGTGTGTGTGTGTGTGTGTGTGCCTGTGTGTGTGTGTCTGTGTGTGTGTGTGTTTGGGGTTGTTTCTGCTACATATCTGTTGTGTTCTATGTCTGTGCCTGGTGCCTGTGCAGAGGCCAGAAGAGGGTGTCAGTTCCCCTGGAACTGGAGTTATAGAGGGTTGTGAATTAGACTGCAAAGTTCTAGAACTGGGCATGGAATTCAGGGGCAAAGCACTTGGCCTTGTATGTGTAAAGCACTGAATTGGGTCTGCAGCACCAAACAAAAATTTCTAATGCACAGAACATTGGTGCAAAGTAGAACCTAAATGAATATTTCCTGAAGGAAGTACTCCGTGCTCTTTTTAAACTAAATCTTAGTTATAGAGGATCTGAAATAATAACCT